AAGGATAGAGAAAGGAATGCATTTTATTTAAATACTGGTTTGAAACTGCAGGAGGACAGATGTAGTGGTTCTATTATGATTCATGTCATTATTAGTTCTAAAAAAAAGCAGGCCAAGAAATTTTCTAAAACAGAAGAAAAAAAAAAGGAAGGAGAACCTAATGTAAATTTTAATTATAAAATTAAAAGGATTAAAGGAGATGAAAATGTTAAAGGGAGGCAGAACTTGACCTCCTGCCTCTTAGGGTCACTGGCTGGGTCTGAGAATTAAACTGACATAAGTGAGCCGGAAGGAAAGCAGACGGGCTTTTGCATGTACATGGGAGCCCCTCTAAGAAAATAAAGACCCCCCAAAGTGGCTCGGGCTAAGTGTTTATTTACTAGTTGAACAAAGAAAGACAATTGTGGAAAAGTCGTGAAAACGTGGGAAGACTAAAAGAAGATGAAGAGTTATTTTAACAAGGTGTGAACAGATTTCTCTCGGCCTAACTTTCTATCTGTAGGAAAAAGAATGTTCTCTCCTGGTTTAGGGAGGGCTTATTTTACATAGGAGTTTATCTCCTGCTTCCTAGAAGAAAAGGACATCTTCTTTTACTTGTGTTTCTTTTTTTTTTTTTTTTTAAGTGTCTTTAGCTCAAAATAATCCCTGCGCTAAAGCGGCATGTTTTGGAGTGGCACACTCTGCTACCTTCACTGCCCAGGACAACACATTCCGCTCTCCGTGAATGTTCCCGAGCAAGTGTGGGTGTCTATGTGGACAGACGCACACACGGTCCCCCATTGTCAGCCAGCGGTGCCACCCCGATGCTAGCTCAACGTTCTCCTGGCACCTGGGCTCCTGCTGTCCCCTCCCTGGGCCGCACAGACCCTGCCTCCTCTTACTCTGCCTGGGCTCCTGCTGTCCCCTCCCTGGGCCACACAGACCCTGCCTGCTCTTACTCTGCCTGGGCTCCTGCTGTCCCTTCCCTTGGCCGCACAGACCCTGCCTGCTCTTACTCTGTGTGCAGCTCAGTAGCATCTTGAGGAAGGGTGCCGAGACAGCCATAAACTCTGTGAGATCCTTGTCATTACAGAAAAATAGAGTAAAGACGTTTTCTTATTGCGAAAGATCTGTTCTTTGCCTCCCATTTCCAAAGTCCTCTCTCCAGCTGTGTACACTAGGACCCATGAAGCTGCTTCATCTTAGGTAACCACAGCACAGCACCGCAGAAATCAGAGCAAGGTTGCTGCGTCAGGCAGTAAGGCATAACTAATCTCGAACTGTTGGATGGAGCTGGAGAATGGCACAGTTGAGCATCCCAGCTATAAAAAGCAGTGAAACAGAAACAAAAGCTGTGAGTCCCGACTCTGCCACAAGTAGGCGTTGGCAGATTTTTTTTTTTAACCCAGGCAAGGAGTTGTATTTCCAAGAGCAGCCTGATGCAGCTGGATTTTTTTTCTTGTATTTTTAAAAAGAGAGTTTTGTAGCAGTTTGCAACTAACTTAATCCTATGTTTACAATATTTTTTCCTTATTCTTAGTACTAACCCCCCTCCCAAAAAAAAACCCCAAACCCCTCCTTCTTGTGGAGAGAGAGAATTCTGGTCTTCTAGGGCTCCAGGGACCCTCTTCAGAATATCCTCATTTGCAATAACTCAGTACAGAATAATTCCAGGTGGTTCCTTTTACTTGACGCTCACAACACTGAAGTTGGTTACAGCATGAGGACCTTGAGCTCTAATGATAGTGTAAAATGTGATGAAAACTTATAATACACTGGGTCCTTGATGGGAGGTGCCAAGAAATTGAGTCCTGGGCCTGCGGGCTTAGGACTGGGAGGGCCTCAGAGCCAATACCATGGTCAGCTGTACTCTCCCTCTGTCCTCCCTTCTGCAGAAGCAAAGGGACTGTCCCACGGTCATGCAGCAAGCAGGACGGGGCATGGATGCCTTAGTGTCCTCATCTCACTGTCTTTTGGCAGGAGCCCATTCTCTGAAGAGTCTCACACTTCTGACACAGCCATTCAGGTTCATGATGTTTGTTTGTTCTTGGACTAGCCAGGTAACCTTCCTACACCCATTGTTCTCATTTGTAAGACAGAGACAGTCACCAGGTGCCTCGAAGGGTTGTTCTGAGCGTTTGATTTAAAGCCACCTGGAGACCTTTGGAAAATAATAGCTTTATTTCCAGTACAGATGCAACGTAGCTTCAGAGTAGCTACGTTGGAACTGAACTCACAGTGGGAGGTGGTTTGGTAGCATTCAACCACGTGTTCCCAAGAAGGGCTTCCTTGAGTTCTTTAGTACAAGTAGGATCATGACGAGCATGTCTTATTTTGTTACCTCAGGCTTTATCCCTAAAAAGCAATTGAGAAATATTTTTTCCTTTCCAGTCCAGTTCTGGGTTAGTTTAGAAGTCAAGGGCAGGCGTGCTAGGTTTAAATTTTAATTTCTTGGGTTTGTGTTGTGTGTATAGTTTAGAAACTTTCAGGACCAAGGTTTCTCTACAAGTAACTAAGGAAAGCCAGGTAGACTGTGTTCATCCCACAGTTTAACGAGAAAAATCGTACTGTGATAATTTTATTACATGTTTGAGGTACGTGGAAGAACCACATGAAATATAATACAACTAGTAATGAGAAAAGAACAGGACTGAAATTAACCATAGGAAAGAATTCAGAATGCACAAGGCCTAGTGAAAGTCACCGGGAACAGCTCACTTCTTAGGCCACTGTGTCTCTATTAGTTCTCCAGCCCTGCCCCAAAGAGGTATGTTGACTTTGGCTGCTGGGATAATTTTATTAAGAAAACTGAAACTATTTCTATAAAACCACAAGTTTGCTAGTAGATTTCTCAGGTTTTTTCTCAAACAACAAAGCCCCGAGTTGGGAGAAAGCTTCAAGATCACAGAGTTCTACTCTTTTATCCTACACCTAGGAATACATTGCCCGGAGAGGAGCTGCGCTTGCCAGTGAGCTGGGACTAGACAGCCCAGCTGGTGCTATCTGTGCGACTCCGCTCCCAGGCCCAGCCATTAGCCTCTGCTGGTCTGTATTTCCAACCACAACCAGCAGCCAGAGGGTTGTGTCTCCAAATCTTTATGTTGAGCTAAACGGGACTGTTGTCTGCTGTGTATAAATTTGAGATTTGTGCTGTCAAAGAAAACTGCATATGAGCTTCTTGAGTCTAGTATCTGGTTAAATAGTTAGCAATTTGAAAATATGAATGTTACCGTAAGGGTGTGTGTGGGCGGGCGCATGTGTACATATTAGTCCCTTCTTTGTGCCCCCGTAGGTCCCGCACTGATGTCAATTTATTGTTTCTTCCTTCTCTGTGACTTCACATGTGCTCATTTTTTGTCTTAACTGACCACCTTCTATTGCTGACACGGGTCCGAGCCTTGTATGTAGCACAGGGTCACTTAGTGTAGGACAAAGGAAACTCCATCCACTGTGAGACCCATTTGCTACCTAGAGCCCTGTCGACCTTACCCCACGCTCATCAGAGGTCAGAAGCAAGTTTGCGGCCTTATTGAAAGTCCTGCACCTGTTCAACCCTTGGCTTCAGTAGCTGCACTCGACCAGCAGGGGGCGAAGTAAGTGCAAGCACCAAACCACGTGAATTTTTCTAAAGTCTAAGAATCCGAGGCATGTGAGGTATAGTTTTTTTATTATATAAACACCTTTGAAAAATATATGGAAGTTTCCAATTGTTTTTAATTAATGAGTATATTTGTAATTATACAGGGCAAAGCACTGATGTATTCTCATTTGTAGAAAATGCGTATGATGCAATACCAAGTTTCCCCTTCCCTACTTCCCTCCCTAGAGCTGACAGTTATCAGTTTGTTTTTCTTTCCAGCCTTTTCTCTGTGCACTTAAAACTCACAGTGCTCCTAGAAATGGAAATAGCGTTTCATAAATGGGATCATGCAATATTATTTTACAACTTTCCACTTCATATGTTTTAAACATCTGTGTGTATCTTTATATACATATTTGTATTATCTCATGTTTAAAAATTGCTGCCTAAGGTTCCATTGAATGACTATTGTCTGGCTTATTTAATAATTTTCCTGTTGAGACATTTAGTCGTTTTTCAGTTATCTACTATTTCAGACTGTGGAATCCTTGTGAATATGTGTGTTTCTCTAGTATAGATACTTATCTGTGCAGATATATATATTTGTAATTATTAAGAAAGGCATTTAAAAGAGTCAGTCTGGAAGGTTGCCATAGGGTGCAAGGATTCACAGTCAGTGGTAATCAGAGCGCCGTGGTCTGGCTGAGCGGGAAGGAGGAAGCTGGTGACGTGGACCCGCAGCTGTGTCTACGGCCCCCACAGCTGCTTTCAGCACAGCGGTTCATTTGACTCAAAGTCAAAACCACCAGGGTATTGACAACCCAGCATCTGCTGGGAAGGAAAGTTCTTTATTTCCTGTCAAATGGAATGGTGTGACCATTGGAGGCAGGCAGCAAAATGATAAAAAAGATTGGGGCAAGCAGGCTTGTGGGATTGTGATGGGCACATCTGTCCAGCACTGTGCATCCCGGGCAGCAGGCTGTGGGGCGGTGGGTTTGGTTCTGCCTACATGACATCTTCTCTGTTTTTGCAGTTGGCCGCCCCATCCCTGTTCATCAGATTCTGCACCCGACCTCGGAGCAGATTGAGGAGCTGCATCAGACCTATTTGGAGGAGCTGAGGAAGTTATTTGAAGAGCACAAAGGAAAGTATGGCATCCCAGAGCACCAAACTCTTGTTTTTAAGTGACTTCACTCTTAAAGGGCGTAAAGGAGAACCAGAAGCCATCCCATGGAGAGAATAAATATTTTAAATAAGTTTTTTTTCTTTTGACTATGAAATGAAATTTGTAACTGAAAAGTATTATTTATGATGACAGATGTTGATGTTTTATTTGTAGTAAGTAAAGATCCAGTGCATAACTATAGAAGGATAAGTATGGAGATGACCACGTGTATAAGACTTTTTTTAATAACACTTCTTCGCTTAGGAAGGCTTCATCATTTTAAAGGTGATGAAAAGAGAATGATTCATGTGCTCCAATGAAATGACAGCTTCGAAAAATAATTAGACTCTTACTAAATCTCACAATAACTTAAGGTGGTGTTTTCACTAAGTACTGCAGCTGTTGTTCAGCACAGCTGGAACGTTTAGGAAACAGTCTAAAATGATTTTCCATAGAGAGCTAGAGGAGATACATTTTTTTTCTGCATGAACAGGCCATTTGTTAGTGAATACTGTTACTTTTAATATTTAGATAATTTGATCTTTTAGGTCAAGTCAACTAACACATTTTTATACAATAATGCAGATTTTTTTATGTCATTCTCAAAATAGGATAAACCTGCCATATGGAAGGCCGCATGGACAGAGCTTGCCTTGTTTCTACTTATGGTTAGAAACACGCTCATTTGCTGTAGACAAGGAAGTTTATTTGAAAGATGGGCTTTTGCAGATGTCTAGTACATTGGAAATTCCAGAATGTTTTCATGGTAATAGAAATAATTTCAGTGTTCTTTCCATTGTAAGGCAAGCTCTGAAGGAAAGAACGTTCTCTTGTGAGATGTATCCACTTCACAGTTGATTTAGCTTATGAGTCTTCTCTGAACCAGAATGAGCAGGAACCTTGAGCTTCGTGCTTGCTGATATTCCCTAGTGTCTGGGTTAGCTCGAGGCACTTAGTAGGCACAAAGTGAGGACTTGTTTGATGAATGTATTGATAGATATGGTGGAATATGCAGACACACTTTGTCGTAAAGCAAAGAATTTTTCAAGCTGTGCTGTAGGATGAAACCTGTTGCAAGACAAGACTCACTTTTAGAAGACAACAATTTCTATATTTAACTGTACATCAGTAATTATACTGTAGGTTGCTTTTTAGTGAAAAGTCAGAAGGAGGTTTCTGATTATTAGAAATAATCAGTGTTAACCAAGTGTTAAGTAACTAGTCAGTAAGAAGAATTGTCTAGTTTCCAAATGATCTCTATTGCTAGATGTTTGCTTTTCTGCCTTCTCTACTCCAGCTGTTTCTGGGCAACTTCACTGAGTTGCTTTCTAACTCTATGATAATATGCCTTCAGGTTTCTAGTTTATAAACCTTAAACTCTGGGCTACAGACTGGATTGGGTTCAATTCATAATTGAAAACCAAAAAAAAGTGAACCTTCTTAATTGTTCTATGTGAAGTTTTTTGGCCTAATTTTTTTTTTTAATTTCACACTAGTGGAAGGATTTAGAAGTTCACTAACCTGTCGGATCAAAATTAGTTACTTCTTTGACAAAGTGGTGCCTTTAAGTTATTATAAACCTGTGACATGTTATTCTCTTGGAAAAGTTTATTAAAAGACTATGCCACGTAGGGAGGGAGAACCACCCAACATCAGCTAGATCAATGGTTCTCAACCTTCCTAATGCAAAGTATTTTCATTGTTTCAAAGGGGTCACGACCCACAGGTTGAGAACCACTGAGCTAGATTATCCAGTAGGCAGTTAAAACCCATGCTTAGTAAACCAGAGGCATTAAAAAAATGAAAAAGTTTGCTCTCGTGAATTTATGCTTTTGCCATAAAATACCTATACATAAGCAACATTAATTTTGGCATATATAACATGTTATTTTTCACTATAAGTGGCAGAGTTTAGGGAGAGTGGGGTTATCTTTTCTCATTTTGTGATCTTTAAAGGTTATAATCCAGCCATGCCAGAAGTCTCTTTATATATTCAAAGCATAGTTATATGTTCCAGGAAGGATTTTTGTCTGTATATTATATTTACCAGCATGGTTTGATAGAGATGTCTTCTATTGTAAGAGTTCCCATCTCGTATGTAATTGCACATATATTTTAAATAGCAAAGAAAAACAATCAGCAGAAAATAACCCTACAACACTGTAAGAGAAACTAGGCCTATTGCCTTGGGAAAATGTGCGTGTGTGCCATTTGAGCTGGACATTTTCCCCCTTCTGGGCGCAAACTGAGTCATTTCCTTTATGTTGGCCCTGGACGTGTCTGAAGTTGTTGGTGAGCAGTTAAATCTGTTATGCTCGTGCTGGCAATGGCCTCGTCGATGCCTAAGAAGGCCAGCCGATTGTGCTCTTTACAAAGGGAAACCGCAGTGAAGGGTGCTCCATGTTTCAGTACAGGTCTTTGCCACTACTATGAAAACAATCAAACTGTGGATACTTTAGGGATGATGGGTGCGCCTTTTTATATGCATAGGTTTAAAAGTGAAATCCCTTTCAGTAGAAGATACATTTCTGTTGTGAGAAGCACAGAGCTGTGATCCATCCACACTTCTGTAACTTTTTATCTCTTTCAAACTACCTCTGTGATGTAGACTACCAAACTGTCTGATAAATGTGAAAAGAATTTTGGGGTGTATTATCTCTAGATTGTTTTCCTCTGATGAGAGACCCTGTCTCGGAGGCACCTGTGGTTCAGTGGGTAGGGCGCCAGCCCCATATACCGAGGGTACAGGCCAAACTGCAGCAAAAACAGCTGGACGCCTGTAGTCCCAGCTACTCAGGAGGCTGAGGCAAGAGACTTGCCTATGCCCAGGAGTTGGAGGTTTCTGTGAGCAGTGTAATGCCACAGCACTCTACCGAGGGCAACAAAGTGAGACTCTGTCTCTACCCAAAAAAAAAAAGACCCCGTCAATAGGATTTGTTGATTTGTTGTTTTTTTTTCTGATAGCACAAGAGTGCTAGTTCTCATATTTGTTTTTTTTAACCTAAGTGGCAAAATGTCTATTTAGGGGAGCTGGAGGAGTTACTTCAAGTAGAATTTGTACATCTTTCTAGGGGAGAAAAATAGGGAATGATCTAAAATAGCCAGCCGGTTATTCTTGCTTCTCTAGGACTACAAACACAAAAGTAGGTCTTTATCTTTAAAACAAAAGGGTTTCTCTACTATCTTTTATTTTGATTACTGTAGTTAATCCTTCTCAAACTCCCCCGGCTTATTGCCTTATTATCTTACATGAAAAGGAAAACGTTTATCTCAGTAGATATAGTTAGCCTATGGGATGATATGTTCCTCAGAGCAGAATCCATGTCTTGCTTACATTTTGATCTTGACCCTGATGGAGCGGGCCTTCAGCTGTCTCTGAATGAGTGTTTATGGCACTAATCTGGAAATCTGGTGGATTGTGTCAAAAGAGCCAAGGTTTAGATCTAGAAGAGACTTCATCATCTGTCTAACCCCAGCGAGGTGAAATGCAGATTGAAAGTGACTCTGTGTTTGTATTACCCCGCCCTTGAATAAGCAGGAGCTACTGCTAGTCTGTGACGGTTGATTAATAAACCTTAGAATCCTCCTATAAAACACAAGTGTCAAAAAGTAGAGTATGATTAAAAATCTACTTGAAACAAGGGATTAAACAACTCTGAAGCAAGCTCTCTTTTATTAGCATGGAGAATATTTTTCTTTTTTGAGGCTGGTATGCCACATTGTTGATTTTTCCCTTTTGCAAGAGTTATTTTGGTGATGTGTCCTGGGCAAAGGCCAAGTTTAACCTCTAGAACAGCGGTTCTCAACCTGTGGGTCGCGACCCACAGGAACTGTATTAAAGG